TTCTGTATGGATACACACCACGCGACATATTGCAAAACCAGCTCATCCAAACGCTTCAGGATGATCAAGCTGACACATTAACCGACACCGACTTACAACAACTAAGGGCTACAGCCGCTACCCGAATCGATGATGTAAGAGCGCAAGCTAAACGACGATACGATGCTCGACATGCTAGTCCAAAGATCTACAAGCAAGGTGACCTTGTACTAACAACGAACGAGCCGACAAGTACAGGTACCTCGCGGAAATTAGAACCCCGTTACAAAGGACCATTCGCGAGGTCCTTCCAAACGACCGGTATGTGATCGAAGATTTACCACATGCCCAGCGAACACAACGCCATTACACATCAGTATTCGCATCAGATCAGCTAAAACTTTGGTGTACATTACCACCTGATGATTTCGACGACGATGACCCTATGGGCGACACTTCGGGCGAGGGCGCTCCGAAAGGTCAGGAAAGCCGACTGTAAGCGATGGCAACCCAGACACCGCTGTCAGAACCCAACGAGTGGGTAGACAGACTCGGGCAGAAACAAACGTGCCGCGGTAGCAAGAACATCGTGAAATACTTTTATACTTTCAATCTATATTTTCATAATCATACTCTGTCATTCCTAATTTAAATAAATATCAATTCATTTGCTGTAAAATTGAGTATCCACCCTCTGGATAGAAGACAGCAGCGGTACCGCTGCTATATGGGTACCTCCCGGAAGCAGCATGCACATCTCGGAAAAGGGATATGGACACGGCTACGTCTGGGCCAGACACAACCATATAAAAATAATAAGCTGCTACCTGACACCAAGCGACAGCATACAAGACTTCCAAGATAAACTCGACGACATCGAAGATACGGCCATGAACTTGGAAGGACCCTTTCTGATGGCAGGAGACCTAAACTCAAGAGCCACGGAGTGGGGAATGCCAAACACGGACTCCAGAGGCAAACGCGTGCTAGAAATGTCAGCCCGACTCGGACTTATAGTGCTCAATACTGGCGCAGCAACAACCTTCCGAAGACCAGGATGCGAGGAAACCACGCCAGACATTACATTAGCATCAGAAGGCATAGCAGGCACCATAAAGGAATGGAAAGTATTGGAAGACTACACTGGTAGCGATCACCAATATATCTCCTTTATAATAGACTCCACAAACGATGGTTTACGAACGAAGATGCAATGTAGCACTCGCAAATGGAATGTCTCGAAATTAAATAGGAAAGCACTACTATCTGAACTAGATGCGCATGGCTCAGAAGATTCATCTTACAAGAACGCAATGGAAACAGTAGAGATTACAATGAAAATGATCTCCAGCGCCTGTAACAAAGCGATGCCAAAAACCGGAAGCAATCGCCACAAAAGACCTGCATATTGGTGGACGGAAAACATAGCTCAACTCAGACGAACGTGCCTCCACCTGAGGCGTACTTACACCAGGGCCAGGCGTAGGAGCGCTGCAATCGAAGAGGCACAACTATACCAGGCTGCCAGAAAAGAACTCAAACGAGCAATCGAGGCCAGCAAGCACAGAAAGTGGGAAGAACTGCGTGAAGATATAAACAGAAATCCCTGGGGTCTCGGATATAAGGTGGTAATGAAAAAACTTGGGGCCATGGCAAAACCACCAGAGCTTAGCGCTCAAAAAATGGACCATATAGTAAGTGAACTCTTTCCCACGCATGACGCGTTAACCAAAGAAGCTGAGCCTATCATCGTTCCTCAAGAAGCACCACTATTCAACGCAGAAGAGCTCAAGGCTGCCACAAATATAATAAAGGCCAAGAAAGCTCCAGGCCCAGACGGCATTCCAGGAGAAGTTCTAAAAATAATCGCCGCAGAACGCCCTCATGTGCTTCTAAACATGTACAATGCCTGCCTCAAGAACGGAATATTCCCAGAAATTTGGAAAAGGCAGCAGCTCGTCTTAATCAGCAAAGGAAAGGGAAACCTTGACTCACCATCAGCGTATCGACCACTATGTATGCTGGACACAGCTGGAAAACTCTTAGAAAGGCTGCTAAAACCTAGAATAGAAGCGGCTATCGCCAGCGGCGGCGGACTTTCCTCAAGACAGTACGGGTTCAGGCCCGGGAGATCTACAATTGGAGCTATAAAACATGTAACAACAACAGTGGAAGCCGCATACCAACACAAAAAGCTAGTCCTGCTTGCAACCTTAGACGTTCGCAACGCCTTCAACACCGCAAAATGGGAAAATATGATACACGCACTAGAAGAAGTCTACAACATACCCACGTACCTTAGACTCATGGTTAGAAGCTATCTAGAAGGCCGGGAGTTATTATACCATACCACCGATGGACCCCGGCAAATGACGATCACGTCGGGCGCAGCACAAGGCTCCATTCTTGGGCCAGACCTATGGAACATCAGCTACGATGGAATATTAAACCTTGAGATGCCTGATGACACATACTTAGTAGGCTACGCTGACGACATTGCCGCAGTGATCACCGCACGAGACACCGAAGATGCTCGCCGCAAATTAAATCAGACTATGATAAGAACACAGGCATGGCTCGACTCACACGGTCTTAAACTTGCAGCAGAGAAAACCGAGCTAATACTCCTAACTAAGAAGCATATTCCCTTAGAAGTGAGCATGAAACTGACCGGCATTACATTAAAGACACAAAGAGTAATAAAGTACTTAGGTGTAAGGCTAGACCCCAGGCTAACGTATTGGGCACAAATGCAGCACGCAGCCGCAAAAGCAGCAAAGGCAACGGCTTATCTAAGCAGATTAATGGCCAATATTGGTGGACCGACCCAAAGTAAAAGAAAACTTCTAATGTCCACAACCTTGAATATTTTGCTATGCGGAGCGGAGATCTGGGCTGACACCCTACAGAAAAATAACCGTTGCAAGATACTCTCCAGAGCCCATCGCACTGCAGCTTTAAGAGTAGCCTCTGCGTACCGTACAGTGTCCGGCGAGGCAATACTCGTGATAAGCGGAACGGTTCCCATTGATCTACTAGCAGCCGAGCGCAAGAAAATGTGGGAGCTTAAGGCGCAAACGAAACCAAGTGACATCGAAAGGGAAAGAGTAAGAAACGAGACACTAAGACTATGGCAAGATAGGTGGCAAAACGAAAGCCGCGGCCGATGGACGGCCAGGCTAATAAAAGACCTAAAACTTTGGACACAAAGAGAACATGGCGAAGTAAACTTTTACGTTACACAAATGCTGTCTGGGCATGGTTACTTTCGCAAATACTTGTATAGAATAGGAAAAGCCGAAGAGCCGTCATGCATATACAGCGACGCAGAAGAAGACGATGCCGAGCACACTTTCTTCGGATGCAAAAGATGGGAAGCCGAGCCCAATAATCTGCAAGACCTGGTAGGACCAATTAACCCAGATAACGTTATCCAAGCCATGCTACATAGCGAAACTAACTGGAAGAACATAGCTAAATATGCAGAATACCTACTTAGAGTCAAGAAGCGGGACCTGGACGCAGGTGCACCGAGGTAACTTTAGTTAATGAGAAATATGGAACGCCACCCTGAAGCAATGCGATTAGTGGTCCCAGGGTGGGCGACGGTTCCAATTCGGGGGGAGTGTTTTACCATATACCATACATACCATTGTTGTGACGACAGCTTTGATGATGCAATGGCATTTTCGACCCCCCTGCCCGCGAAAAAAAAAAAAAAAAAAAAACGTATCCACCCTCATCGTTCTCACATTTATATTTCTGTTTTTGTCATATATTGAGCTATTCAATCTTGATAGCATACTGTTTGAACGTGTTGCAGCAGAAACTATTAGTCTTCATATAACACTTTGTTTGAATTATTGAATTAAGGCTTTCCAACCTCATCCTATTTCGAATCTTAGTTTTTGTTGAATTCATTACGGAAAAAACGCGCTCAACAAAAGCATGTGAGTGCGGCAAGGATAATAATATGAAGGCTACTTCACTTATATTTCCAGACATTTTATTGCCTGTTGCGGTTTTCACTCCGTAAGCAATTATTCAAAATTCTTCAGAGTCGGATGGAATGGTTCTGAAAAAAGTTATTCCATGGGAAAGTTAAAAGATTAAAATATTCAGTTGATGCTGCTTTGCTTTTCTTTCCTTCAAAGTCAAATTGTGAATTGGCTGGTCCCTGAAACTCGCTCTCTTGTGATTCACACACGTTTCTGGTGCCAAAATCAAAGCCTCTTTAAAAGTATTTAATTGACCAGGTAATCGTTTTAAAATCGTTTCTTGGATAAGGGTGATTAAACATTTTTGACAGTCATTTAATATGCTTTTTAAGTCAAGTTTATCACGCAGTTCATTAGCCTCTTCTGTAAAATTATCGTGGAAAACTAAGTTGTGTATAGTTTTTTAATTGGAAAAAGTGTATTTGAAGGGGAAAAATCGCCAAAAATGGCCAATGGCGATTTCCTAAATTTTTACGCGCAAATACCCAAGAAAAATACCCAAATTGGTGCGAAATCGCCAAATCTGGACACTCTGATGACAATACAAATTTCGTTTTATTTATTTAGTCACAGCTATAACGTCGTCGCGTGCACATGTGTCGCTAATCCCTTTAGTGCTGACCCCATGCGACTACTAACGTAAGATTTTTTGGCTGACTTAAGTTTAGGTTAACGATAATAGAGTACTTTAATATTTTTGATAATACAAATATTTTTTTTGTTTCTAAAGCTCTTTTTTGAAGACTTTTGTTGGGGTCACTCGGGACCCCATGCGACTAATTGTGTAATTTTCTTTATGCGCCCAATTAAGGGTTAAAGGACATATCGTTTGGTAACAGAAACATTCCTTTTAGAAATAAGTATTATTAAACCAAATTTTCAAATTACAGAAATACATACAGCATATTTTTAAAATTAACCAAATAATATTATACAACTACATTTACATATCTTTATTATATAGTATGTAGTCGTATGGACTGCCCTAATTAACATATTTATCTTTACTTCAATATTTAATAGTGGGAGAATTCCAATGAAACACAGGTGACGTTGAAAAATGTTGACTTTGATTTGTCTGGACAATTTTTCTGCGAGGTTTCAACGGACGCACCTATTTATACAAAGGCGTCTGTCGATGAACTGCTATCAGTATTTTGTAAGTTTAAAAATTGCAAATACCTATGTAAATCTATATATACATGTATACTATATATATACACACTACTACTACTACTACTTGATTAATAACTAATATGGCTTCTGTCAAATTTTAGTGCCACAAACTGGTCCACCCATAATAAAGTTCCGAAAACGAATGCCGTTTGTCATAGGGGAAAAATTATTTGCTTTATGCAATACGACTCGCGCCTTTCCCGCACCGCACATCACTTGGCTCATCAATGGCAAGAAGGTAAGTCAAATGTTTTCCAATAAACTAGTGAACCCGCATGGTGTTAAAACGCTCATAATCTTATCTCAAAAACCTAGAAACTATACAAAATGTTAGTCAGAGTGAATCCGTGAAGCCGTTTTTGAGCGAAGAGACGCCTCGCATGGTATCGGTTTTTAGTGTCATCAAATTTCAAAATTAAAAAGTTCCAACTTCAAAAAAAGTAAAATTTATCACACATCTTCAGGTCTTTAATTCGACCTCTCATATTGCTTAGTTGGATCAGTATGACTTTTCGAAAAGTTGGCAAGCCTAACCCAATATATTTTCAAACTAATTCTTTCATATATCCCTTCCGGTTATCACTCATATTATATTATTTCATAAAGCTTGTGTATCTATCACTTAACTAACTTTGACTATTAAACAGGTGGAAATCCATTTCAAAAGAACTTTCAAACTAAAATCTTCTTAATGCTTTTTCATCTGACACGCGAATTTCGATACATATTTCAATTACCTAATTGCCTTAATTTATGTTGTTGGCTTTTTGAAACAGTAGGGAAGCCTCTTAAATATTTTTGAGACACAAAGCATTTTTAAACACATTTCCAGGGAGACCTACCTTTTAATAATTCTTCCAACTTATTACATTAACACATTTTTTCTTTTTCATGTAGCAAGGGGTCATTGCGGATTCCGGTAGAATACCAATCCAGTAAAAATTTTTGTTGGGAATAATATTTGCTTAAGGCGACAAACCTAAAGCTAACAAAATGTAGATTTTATTGCCGATTTCAGCAGAACATCCCTTAGTTAACAATATTTCTTAAGCAATTTTGTTTTATTTAGAATAGAAGATCCTTCTAGAAATGGCTATGTAAATTCTAGGACCAAAGCTAAAAAATTTTGATTTTATTATGGGTTGCGGCAAAATATCTATTCACTCACAACGTTTGTTCCGCAATTATTTTTGTAAGAGAAAAAAGTGTTATTTTTAAGTTCTTGCAAATGCGTTATCAAAGAATATTTTTTTCAAGCAACAGTGCAGTGTATACAGTGTATGTCGTTAAGGGATAACCGACCAAGCACTTCAAATGGTTACTATCGCATTTCACTGTACGTTCGAATATAACTAGCTTTTGAAGAACATCAACAATATTGCCACAGCTTAAGTAATGTCGAAAATATGAGCCTAACATTTTCGAAAGTAACCTACATACATTTTATAGCAGTGCGTAAAGCTCTCTTTAGTAAGGCCATGCTGCTTTTTTAAGTTGATATCCTGACTTATGTGATATCTATATGTATAAAGGATTTTATAATAAAGGTGTTCGTTGTATCGAGAAATTCTATTATACTTACGGTGACCATAAATATATTTTGAAAATGCAGGACAATTTTTAAAAAAATTTACCAACATATAATTGCGTCGTATAAAAATAACAAAAATATACTACATATATACATTCCTCGTCATTTGAATAGCGTACCCTTTTTTTGATTTTTTACCATATAAAGTATGCTTGACAAAATTTTTATATGGAAGAAAATACGCAGCACCGTCAACAAAAAAAATTGTCGCCCCTATGTTTATTTTTTTTTTTAATTTTCAAAAATTTTTTAAATGGGATGTAGAGGTAGAATATGATATATTTTTATAAAAAGTTAATGAATATTAAACAAACAAAAGGAAAACAGTACCTACTAAGTATTAAAAGGATGCGCTATTCAAATAACGAAGATGGTATATTTCTTAATTATTAATCCAATTTTAAACTTTAAACATAAATCGCATTTGCTTCATTGGTATTAATCTTTTATAAATGAATATTTACAAAATTATAATAAGGCATATTACATATTACTTTACACGAAATATGAACCTCTGTAAAGCAAATTTTTTTAGGCAAACTTTGGGTCGTTGAACACGAAAAATACCCATGGTTTCAAAGAAGTGTTTTCGAGATTTGTTCGAAAAACGTATTTTTTGTACTTTTTGAGTTATTCCTCAATATCTCATGAAACGGCCAACAGTTCGAAAGGTATTCATGGGCTCTTTGCAAAAATATATATTTTTTGTGCAGATTGTGTTCCGTAACATCTACATTTTTCATCGGATTTTCATTTACTGTAAAAATAAAATGATTGAAATTTCAATTTTTCGTTTTTGGTCGCTTGTGACACTAATAATTTTCATTGAAATCGGCAAAGTAATATATTTTATTTCGCTTATCTTGATTGGATAATTTTTTCATGAGACATTGACGAATAGGTCCGAAATGTACCAAAAACACTTTTTTCGAAAAAATTACGAAAATGCTTGTTTGCAAAGAAAATCGGCTTGGAAAATATTTTTTTTTTTCTTAAGCGATTACCACAAAATTTGTAGAACAGTGTTATCGATATATTTGATGCTGGTCTTCAATTTCTCGTCACCCATTGTCCATAACCGTACAATATGTAGAACGCATTGACTAGTTGAACCTTCAAAACCCACTTACACTGGTTTTATTTCGATTAGGAAAACTTAATTTTAAAATATCGAAGAAAATGCGGGACAAAGGCAGGACACTTGGAAAAAATCAGAACATTTTGGGGGTTTTCTGTTTTGAAAAACTACGCAGGACAGACCTTTAAATAACAGTACGGTCCTGCAAAAAACAGAACGGATGGTCAACGTAATTATACTCCATCTTACCCATAGGGATTTTTACCCTTGATAAAAACATAGTGAGGTAAAACCGTTCCCTAAATTCATCGACCATGATTTTTTTATAGGTTTGCCAGTATTTTAAAATCATATTAAATTGATAGTAAACAAGTAAAAAGTCTAAGTTCGGGCGGAGCCAAACATTAAATGCTCGGCGCTAGTATTCAATATACAAAGTTATTTCACCTTTCCGAAAACTACCGCTACATGGTGTTTTACCCATATTTCACACATCTTTGATACAACGTTCAGTTAGACTTAGTGAGATAAACTTATATAGTTATATGTGGGTGGTATCACGCACATTTTCCAAAATTCCAAAATAATGTTACTTCTTTTCAAGGGATTATTGTTAGTATCAATTTGGAGTAAATTAGCATCCATAAATTTCGAAATATCGAATATAACTTGGTTTTAAACGTTTACAATTCTAAATGTCAAAACACGTCTTTTCTAAACATTTCGAGTTGAATTATTCATAAAAATAATTTTGGTCGCCCAAATCGGCCAAATACCCCTATGTGTAGCGTCGCCCCTCGGCAGGCAATAGCAAACCTCCGAGTGCCATGAAAAACAGCTTCTCATAAAAATACAATCGCCGTTCGGAGTAGGCGTAAGACTGAAGGTCCCTCCCCTTTGTGTGACAACCTCAAGACACACACCACAAATCGGTGGAGAAGCTCGGCCAAATACTAACATATGTGCAAGCGCCAATCTATTATTATTAGCCGTTATCGATTCGCCATCAGTTAGCGAGTGGCGAAACGAACGGACTCAATGTGGTACAAACAAACTCACTATCGTTTATCCGTGCTAGCTAACTTTGTTGTTGCTTTCACATGCAAAATTTTTCATTACGCGACCGGAACTCAAATATAGCAAGCAGCGAAGTGGCGAATCGATGACAGCTATTATTAAACAATTTTTATTAAGCTTGGGGCCGTTTTAATTGAAAATGATCGCATTAATCTTTATATTTTAAGCTTCTTCTCAAAAGTGTACTCTTCGTTATTGCATTTATTTTCGAACGCTTTAATGCACACTTTTTATACTTTATACATATGTATGTAAGTATATCGATATCGTGCTTCATTTAAAGATCATTTTACTGGAATCCTGAAGAGCTTTTAATTGCCTAAATATTTGATTTAATTTGATTTGATTTAAATAAAAAGATTAAATAGACAGGTATGTAATTAAACACTATGATTGTTCGAAAAAACAGCCAAGAAATTTTAAACATTTTGAATATTAAAAAAATCACCAAGCCGTTTTTTGATTCACCGTATTTGTCTGAAGCTCTTTCAAACAATTTTAATTTTTATTGAAATTACTAAAAAAAAACTAAGTTTTTATTAAAATAACTAAAAAAAAGTTATTGGCCCATATTTTCCATATTTGGCAGATTTTTGGAAGTTCAATCGTAGTTAGCAGTAAGCAATACAGAGACTGTATGTATTTAGATAAAAGTCGAAAAAAGACAAATTTTATAAGCAGTACCTAAATAATGGGAGCTGAAAAAAGGGCGGACAAGACTACAGAATCTGCCACTGTATAAAGGTGAACGTTTCCATCACGTTTACCGACCTTTAGCCATTCTTCGAAAAATTCTAAACTTGTGATATATATAAAAAATAAAAACAAGTAGTTGTACTCTAGTGTGCTGTAAAAATGTAAATGTAAAAATGTCTTTAAACGGAAAAGACGCAGCTAAAGAGGAATCACACGATTCGCACATTTTGGCAGTCACAGAGTGGCGTTGTCTAGAAATTTGTATCGAGAATGAGTTCAGCTCAATGAAAAAACTCCACTCTATAACTGTCAAAATGTACAAATGTACCAATCATGTAATCCCTGCTTAAGATATAGACATGTTACTTTCAGTCCTAGAAAAGTTTGAAAAAATAAAAAAATATATAAAATTTTTCAAATTTCGAAACAGTACAGTAAATGTGATAAATATCACTATAAATGTGATTCGTTATTCAAAGTTGACAGAAAATCACACACCTCCAAAATGACAAGTTTTTCAAAAAGTATATAAAATGTACCAAAGTCTTGTTGGTTTCAGTTAGATTATAAATATATTTCTGATCACTGCGACACCCTACAGTAGAATGTAGACCATAAAAAAAATCAGTCAGAGTGTTGAGGATATCCTTTATGTTACTAAGTTACCAATTTCCGGAAATCCTTGTATGAATTTTGTTGTCCACCTAACTTGTTCCACACGCCACACTCTGGAACGGTCGAATACCCATTCTAAATCAAAAGTGCTAAATTTTTATGAAGTTTTGTTGATGTTTTTAATTTTTGTACAAAGTTTAAAAATTTGATTGATATGAACTATACTTTCATTAAGGAACAATTAAAATTAAATAATAAAAAACTAATTAGTCAATACGTGTTTTTATGTGGGTGTCGTATAGTTATAATAAGCACTTAATGTGTCCTTATTTGTGTTGGGGAAATTGACTTTCGATGCATCATATAATTAAGCAAAAGTTCAAATTATAAAAGTATTAAAATTTTATTAAATAGCTTTAAATTCGTCGTAAGTCCCGTGAAATACTTGACCGAAATTAGACTACCGAAAAGTGAGGTTACGTTATTATCAGCACCTTGTTATTATTACACCATGACTGTACCAATTGATGTATTAAAAATCTATTTTCAGGTTGATGATAAATATGTGCGAACACATCACGCTTATTCAATGACCAACAAAAGCCATAGACGTACGCAACAGCAACATCAAATACAGCAACAATTATTGCAACAGCAGTACTATCAACAACAATTTCACAGCCAATATCAGCCTCAATATCAAATACCACATTTTAATGACCGCTATGACAAGAGTTTGCGTTGGAGCGGCGGACGACCAGGTGGGTTTCAAATATATGTGTGCATATGTATGTATGCGGGTATATAGTATATAAGGATAGGCACTGTATAGCAATATGGAAAGCCTTGCATTAGCTTTTAATGTCCATCAGGTTTTCTACAAAGCTGACGTAAAAATTCCAAGCTATGTTTAGAACTTTTCCTTGTGTTCGCTTATTTCAACCCAGTAACCCATAATCTAAAATATGTATTAAAACTAATATCGCCCAGGGGCCTATTTCATAAAAGTGACAGGCAACTGTGTAAATTTTCGAAAAACGACAGTGATAATACGGAATATTGTCGACAATTGTGCTGACAACTTCATTCAGACAAAATTGTCGCGACAATATCGACAAAAGCAAATAGATCCGGATTAACGGCGCCCCTTGGCAGACCGGCAGTAATACGCATTTACGCGCCGCGAGGTCGTAAGTCCGAATCCGACGGCCAGTAAGTAGAATATTAATTTTTTTATTAATTCAGTTATCTATATTCTATACTAATTATATAAAGAGAAGTCCCTTTTTTTTGTAACAGGTAATCTCGCGAACGGCTGGTCCGATTTTCATGAAATTTTGTACACAAATAGCTTTCGGTAACCACCATGTTTTAGGCTAAAAAATTCGAAAAAATCTTATTATAGTCCGATTTGCTTAAAATTTAGTACGTAAGTAGCTTTTTAGCATATATTAGCATATATGACCCATTTTTTTTGATTTCGTATATCTCCATACCAATTTCCAAAACTCTACCATGCACACTTTCAGAGATATGTAGCAAGAGAAATTCGGTTTGTATGGGAAGTGCCACGCCCCCTTTACATATAGATTTTTTTCAGCCTAAAACCATCCTTGGGACACGTGCGGCAGGTAGCAGTTTCAAAAAAATCGGTTCAGCCGCTCTCGAGCCTTGCGAAAACTAACAAACGGCTTTCTAAATATAAATTAGTTGAGATATATTCTATATTATAATTATATTTTGACAGTATCCGTTGTTTCTGATTGGCGCAAAAAAATCTTGCCTAGTGACGAATTCGCCCTTTGATATGGTCGTTACTTAAAGCTATTTATATTCGAAATTGCATGAAAATTGGAAAACAGGATCTATAAGCTTATCCAGGCAAAAAGCTACCTAAGTACCGAAGTTTAAGCAAATGGGACCATAAATACGATTTCTTCGAACAGATCGGTCCCTGGTCCACTTCTCGAAAAAAATGGATCATTTATGCTAATATATGCTAAAAAGCCACCTACGTACCGAATTTTAAGCAAATCGCACCGTAAATACGATTTTTTCGAATAGATCAGTCCCTGGTCCACTTCTCGGAGAAATGGACCATATATCCTAATATATGCTAAAAAACTACTTACGTACCGAATTTTACGCAAATCGGACCATAAATGCGATTTTTTGGAATAGATCGGTCCCTGGTCCACTTCTCGGAAAAAATTTATCACATGTGCTAATACATGCTAAAAAGCTATCTGCGCACCGAATTTTAAGCAAATCGGACCGTAAATTCGATTTTTTCGAATAGATCGGTCCCTGGACCACTTCCCGG